GATTAGCTTTTAATTTTACTTCAAGGTATTGGGAGCTCACGGTTTAGCTGTGTAAATGATGACAACAGTCTTGTTGGTTCACAGCAGCATTTATGCCAAGTGTTTCCTCCTCAACTGGTTTCAGGATAGAGAAGATATTGTGGTTAATGAACTGCACCAGAACCATAAATCCTTAGTGGCTTTCTCTTATTTGCTTAATGTGTTTTGCATTTCATATGACTGTATGCCTGTACATCAACTCATAAAATGAGAGTCCCCTCATGAAAACTTCTGAAGGCAAAGAGTCCTCCCTGTAGCATAGAGGTGTAGCTGCTTTATTCAGAAACACACTGCCATGACCCTCTTTCTATTGCTGTGTTGAGGAAGAATCTACATTTAAAGGTGTAAAACCTTTTAGATATATTGAGGGAAATTTTTTCAGTGGAAAAAAATTTGGGCCAAAGTGTATGTTTCTATGAATATTTTTTATTAATACTAATTTTCAGAACATGTCTGAGGAATAAGAGAAATAGACATGGAGAATCCAAAGTCTCCCCGGAACTTAGAGAAAGAACTATCTTTTTTTTTGCATACACCTATGGGTTTAGTGTTGTTGTATTAGACCATTGTCTTGCTTACTAGACTTGGGTGAGTAGAACAGTCAGATACTGAGTTGATGTTCTACCTGAAGTTATTACAGCTTTGTACATGTCTGTGTGTCCTACAGAAGCAAAGCATCGTGTTCTGAAATGTGGGACTTAGGAGCCAGGTGACCTCCACTGCAATCATTGTACTTGTACTGAAGCTCAGTTTTCTTATCTTTGAAATAAAGGAGTGATACTTTGTCATCATTAGGTCTCTTTGTGCTGCTGTGAATTTTAAGCTTCTCCACATACTATTTCTTATGTTTGATAATCAGAAGAGGAGATAGCTGCTTTATTTTTATTTTCTGTGTCACTCAAGTTAATGGTCTATGCAGGTGCATGCCACTAGTCTTATTTAGAGATATGTTTCAAGAATATATGAACCAGTATATTAATTTAACTCTATATTCATTAAATTTTTAATTAACATCCCAATACCACCTGAAAGGAAGACATGGTAATTCATACTATTTTAAACTTTCTTAAGTTATTATTCTTAGCAGCATTCATATTTTGGAGGTTAGGCTTTTAAGAATATCTGTTCTAGGAACATATCAAAAGAAAAATAATTTCGTCTTGTATTAATTTGAACAAAGCTTATTAAAGAAAAAGAACAGATTGTAAGAAGTGTTAGAAGGGGAACATTCTGAGAATCTGTATTAATGACTTTGTCTTGTCCATGATTATGGTCACATGTAAGCTGTGGCATCAAAATCCCATGGCTTGGCTGAGGTTTGGTTCAGATTGTTTTTCCAGTCTGCCCTGCTGGTTTGAAGCCAAATTCAATACCAGTTTGGAACAGTTCTTAGTAAGTTACTAGATCAGGCCATTTCTGAACCTTCAGTCCTAATCTGATGTTCTTACTTCCTTCAAACTGCCTGTTCTGTCTGGAGATGTTGCTAACACTGTCTTCCTGCTCTACTTTCTTATTGTCTCTGCTATGGCAACTGTCTTTGTCTTTCTTTGCCTTTGTTTCTGCTTCTTTCTCCTCACATTTGCTAATAAAACTTTCTCCATGAAGGCCTTTTCTGTGCACATTGAACTTCTCTTTATGTCACAGTCACCTGCTCTTTTTTTTTTGGCTCTGAAATTGTTTACTTGGTGCCAAGTTGCTTATGTTTTTTTTAACATATCATCCTTTATTATTAACATTGTCTCTTGAATTGCTGGCGTGAGTCTTCCTCATTTCTGTATACCCTTAAAGTCATTTCACTTTATGATGATAAAGGATTTCATAAAAATGAAACAGGCATTTTCTTTAAAATTTTTAGGTTTACTTAACTATTTTATGTGATGACTATTTTGTCTGCATTATGCATCATGTACACACCTGGTATCCAATGAACTTAAAGAAGGTATTGATGCTCCTGGAACTAAAATTACAAATGGTTATGAGCCTTCATATGGTTGCTGGGAATTGGACTCAGATCCCTGAAGGCAGGGTAGTAATGAGTTCACTAGATAAATGATAAATGGTGTTTTATTAGGGAACAAATTGCAAAGATAAAAGTGAAGAACTGCCATGTTTTTCCTGCTCCAGAAGATGCAGTCTCTATGTTTCTGATGCTCTCTCCTACCAAAGCAAGAGTGACCCCCCCCCCCAATCTATCTTCTAGCAGTCATGTCTGCACCTAGAACCATGTCCAAAAGGGGTGTGCCCACTAACACAAATTCAGTGGCATGGCCAGATGCTACTACAAATCCCCTGGAAGAACAACAGTGTACCTAACCATCTCTCTTGTCTCAGACATTTTCTTTGGGCAAAATTATTGGTGATCTTTTGGGTAGTTGCCTGGGATTCTACATGATGTAGTGAAGGTTCTCAAAAAGCACAATGTTAACTGTCATGTGGAATTTGGTAATGAAATGAAAAGATATTTTCATTTGCTAAGGAGTTTTATATTCACTATAAAATGTATTTGTTTACAGTGACATGCTTATCTATAAAGTGTAATCAGGTGGCAGAGAAGGGTGGCTAGTCCCTTGGATGTACTGTGAATCCATCGAGCATGGATTCCAAGTGGGGAAAATTTTATCAAGAGACTCAAGATGCTGAAACAGAAAATTTATAAGGGCTTGTGAAATAGTAAATTTATAAGTACTACAACCAATCAAAAATGTAGAGTGAGTTGTGAAGTCTAGTCCCAATGGATACATCTATAAAACATTCCCACATCTAAGGCTAAGAGAACATTGTAGAAGAGGGGGTGGAAAGATTGTAAAAGTTGGAGGAGCAGGGAGTTCGCTGTGATGTTATGTCTCTTTGTAACACCAGAAGCTATATCCATACATACTCTACTCATGACCATCTAAACTTGAACTATACAAGGATGATACTAATGAATATGTCTCAGCCTTCCAAAAGAACTACAAGCAAGTGAATAAATCTGGGAGTGGAAGAGGAATCCTCCCCAGAGAGGAGCACACCAATTGGTTGTCCACTGCCAGATGGTCATCCCTGAATACACACACACACAAGTAACATTGTATGGACTTACCAGGTTATAGTTAGGAATATATATATATAGTAACATTTAATAAAAAAAGAGGCCATGAATTTGAATGAGAATTGGCTGGGGTATATGGGAGGGTTCGAAGAGAGGAAACAGAAAGAAAGAAGAAATGTTGTAACTAAATTAAAGTCTCAAAAGTAAACAAAAACTCACTTATCCCTTTAATTCTTCTTGTATTTCCCAGAAGTTTTCAATGTGTTTTTTTTTTTTTTTTTTTTTTTTTTTTTTTTTTTTTTATCACAAGGACCTAGCTCTACTAGTGCCATTTGTTTCCCTTCCAATTCTGAACCTATGCCCTGAAAAAGTTGTGAATAAACAACAACAGATAATATGCTGAGTATTGAGACAAGTCACTTCTTGACATATTGTCTAAAGTCATGTCCAGAGACTGGAATGCAAGTACTTTAGTTTTCTCAGTTGCTAGGGTAGCAAGTGACCCTGTTTGGTGCATAAAATATGGCATCCAAGAACAGCAACAACTTCTAAATTGATGTTCTTGAAAAAGAGTTGAAGACATGCACTTTTAATTTTAGAATGAGCAAAGGATATTATTAATTGTAGGAGGTTTAGACACGTGAGTCTCTTCATTGCTCTTAATAGCATAAAATCAGTGTTTCTGAAAGCACTGAATGAGAATGAGTGATGCTCACATACAGAGATATGCCTGTTTGCTCTTCAGCAATGAAATGCTTCGTAAAATAGCAAACAGTAGAACCAGTGTTTCTACTTAAAACTTAACGTGTGCACGTCAGCATTTATTGCTGTGAAAAAAATACTACAGGAAATCAGTTTATAGGAAGATTTGTTTTGACTAGGGCTGTGAGATTGTTCTGTCAGTGGTCTGTGGTCAGAAGTGCAGAACATCATAATGGAGCAAAACTGCTCTCATCTTGGTAGCCAGAAATGGGGGAAGAGGGAACTGGAAGCAGTGGAGGGAGGGACCAGGGACAAGGTACATGTCTCACAGACACACTTTCAAGGTCATATCCTTCCTCCAGTTCGTCCTGCTTCCTAGACTTCCATCACAACCATATAGCCCATCTCATTATGAAGTCACTAATGGATTATTCTATTGATGAGATCAGGCTTCATGAATTGATCTTTTCTCATAGAATTCCCAACTCCAGATCTTATTGCATGGGGGAGTGGGCTTCCAACTCATCACCTTCTGAGGGTTATTTAAAATCCAAGTTGTTGCATGTAGATTCACATCAAGGTTTATGTATTTTGTAAATACTTTCTCAAATATTCAAGGCTGAATATAAATAAATATGTGTAAAATATGCAAATTATGCATATGTGGGGATGCATACGTCACCCAATCACGCTTTCTGTGTAAAGGATGACAATAAACAAGAAACCAGTAACCTTATGTGTTGCCTGGGGAGAAGTGGGCATGGAGTTTGGGAATTTCTAGGGTATTAAATATTTTGTTTTCTATTCTCCTATTTTGAATTATTTTGAACTGTACTTTATTTTTATATTAGACAAAAATCTAAGAAAGAATATGTGCATTATGTGCATTTATATTAACATTTTAAACATGACTTGTTTGAAGGCTTAGCCTATTTTGAAAAGATATTTTTGCAAATATTTCATATGAACGCTGAAGATTCTGTATGATTGTTTTGTTTGGTAATATGATGATAATGGAAGGCATTAGCGGACATACACATTAGTGGTATGAGAAATAGGACTGTATTACATAAATTTAATGATGAATGTTTTCTTTCTCCCATTGCCAGAAAACCTTGGTTCATGTTAGCTGGCTTTAGTAATTGGAGAATGTAGGTGCACTAATGTCAATTTCTAAGGGTGTGTTGGTGAGCAGCAGAATTCACAAAGATTTTCTTCTTTGTTACAGAAAAGCTCAAGAAGAGAATAAGAAAATTGTCCTAGCTGGATGTGTTCCCCAAGCCCAGCCTCGTCAGGACTACCTCAAAGGACTGAGCATCATCGGGGTAAGTATGGGCCTGATGGGTAAATAGAACATCATGTTCAAACTAATTTTACCTCCTCTTTCTAGTTATTTATGTCTTTTCTAAGCACAATGTCTTTATCTCCCCTGAAACTCTGTCTTGTACGTGTGACTTTTCATCTCAACACACACACACACACACACACACACACACACACACACACACACACACACCCCATATCCCATGTTTTAGGTTATTTTCACTGAGAAACTGGCAGTGTGAAAAGCTGCAGTGTGTGGTTTATGCCTTGTAATGTCCCAGTCTGTCATTGCTCTCCAAATCACACCAATTTACCCACCTTGCTGAACTACCCACTGTCCTCCCCAGGATGTAAATGTATGTGTTTACAAAGCTCTGTTGTGTTATTCTCACCTCTATGTCTCAGCTTCAGTGCAGGTAATGCTGCTGCATAGCCCTCCAGGCTCCCATCTCTGGGTGCATTTGTTCACTGTGTACTTGTTGCTATGTCTGACTTCGCACAGAGTTAGGTTTCGAAATGTGATTGTACACTTAAGTGATTTTTTTTTTCATACATGGCCTATGGCTCTAATTTAATTATTCACACAGGACACCCTTCTCATCCCTTTAACGGCTGTGTATTTCTCTGCTCATGCACACATAAGTATACCCATTAAGTGTTTGTTGACTCATTTAACCAAAATATTTTTCTTTTGTAGTTTTGTTCTTTTGCTTAACTGTTGGGCAGTTAGGTCCAAGAAGCCCAGAGACTGGTCTGTCTGCCTTAGTTCACAAGAGGACACAGTGCGAAACTTGTTACTCTATGGGATGTGACTCCATAGGCTCACAAATAAATGGGATGGTGGTGGTCACGAAAAATTTGGCAAGCGTGAAACATTTCTGAATGCTCATTAGCTAAAAATAAGTTTAAGTCACTATGTAGGTAATCCACAGTGTTGTGGCAGTGTTGGCATCATTTGACTTCACTGTAGCCTTGGTTCTGAACACATTTGTGCCCTTTGTACTGAGGATGCTGTCAGACTCCACAGTGCCAGTGAGCACTCTTCCTGGGCTGCCTCAGCTCAGAGTCCAGACCGTGACTACTGAGAACCACAGTGCTGAATTTCCAGAAAAGTAACTGTTGAATTACAGAGAATGAAGATGCTTGTCACTTTCCTACTGTGATTCTTTAGCATGTATTAAGTCAGTGTATCTTTGGATTGTGTTGTTTTAGACAAGGAAGCCCTTCTATCTCATTAGTATGCAAGTTTGCTTTCATTTGAAATAAATGGTGAAATTTATGCTGATAAAATGTTTTAAACTTTATTTATGATCAGCAAATGTTGGTTTATATGTCTATTTTTTGATGTATATCTTTATCCTCATGTTCATCTAAATATTTTTTAGGCATTCACAGGAAAATTTTGAAGAAGTTTTTCTGAGAATGTAGTTGGGTTCATTCAGTAATTCTTTACCACATGGTTGCAATTTTTTCCTTCCGGCTTTTCTACTGAATGTCTGCTCAAGGAGCTTACCAATAATCTTGAAAATAAGGCTTTATTTTATGTAAGGACAGGTGAGGTGGCTTAGCAGAGAAGGGTGCTTGATGTCCAGCCTTATGTTCTATGTTCGGTTTAAAAGTGGTACCTCATGTCCAATACTAACATGCAACCAGAAACTAAAGGATTACTTAAGAAATGTTGGCTTTATCATTCTACCCAGTGGCTTGTCTATCAGGCTGTTTCAGAAAAACATACTTATAACTCCAGATGCATGCCAGACCAGGACCACTGACAGTCAAGTAAGTGCCCTTCACTGGTCCCTTAGGGACACAGGTGTGTGGACTTCTTTTCTAGTTCAACAGGAAAGTTGTCTTTGAGGTCTTTATTGGCTTCTGCCAGCTGAGGTGCAGAGTGGACTGCTGATGTCCAATTGCTTAAGCCTGTGTGTGCCACATGGGTCTATTACTTCAAGCTCAATCAAACATTCAGTGTTTTAGCAGAGTATGTAGTGATGAAATTTGGATGGTAACTGACACAGGGGACCACCCAGCTGTGAGGATCTCTGTCTCTGCAGAAAGTTCTACTCTCAACAGTTGGGAGATGGGAGGACAGCATTTTGCATTTGCTTTAGGTGCCAGCATGTTGGTTTGTTTCCAACATGTCTACATGTTTATTGTGGATTTAATGTTTTTTTCTTAGAGCAGGGTAAAATATTTTTGTGGGCTCTTTGAAAGTCCCTCATCAGAATGACTCATTAATGTTATTTATGAATTGTTTGTTCACCAACTTCTTTCTTCCTTGTTGAGAACATGCTGCATGTTGTTCCACACCCCCCCCATATTTATAATCAAGTGCCCGAAGGGTACAAGGTATTGTTTTATTTATTTTTATTTGAATTACATACTGTTGAATAAGCTTTTGTGTATCCGCGGCTGCAATTTATGGTGCTGAGAATATCTTTCCTGTTCTCCCAGAGAAAAATCCGATTTATTGTGCACTCTTCAAGGGGACTTTGGGTCTGTTTTTGTTATGGTGTTTTCTCTGTCCCCTCCTCCCACCTGCACTGGTTTCCCCCTAACTTCTGTCTTTTTTCACCTGTCTGCCTGTTGTGGTCTCTCCTTCTCTCTACCTTTCCTCCACTGTCCTCATCACTGAAAATGGATGTAATCGTTTCCTTAACTTTCATAATGAGCTTCTTTTCTGCTTCTTTGTAATAAGTAAATAGAATGCTGTTCTGTTTTTATACACACTCCTTTCTGGTCCTTTGTCCCTTATGGATGCAAAGCCACCGATGTCTGCAGTTGCTTTGAGTTCTGAGGGCCTCGATGACCTTTAATCTGCATACTTGCCTAAGGTGTAACTTTTTTCTTTAATGACCTTCATAATAGAACATTTGGCTAATTTCATCTTTCTTGTTTGTTTTTAGATGTAATGGCTTTTTTTTTTTTTTTTAAATAAAATCCATGTATCACACAGCACATCCAATCACAGTTTGTAGTTTATTCAGAGTGTGTGACCATTACCACCTACACTGTCAGAACACCTTTCACTTTTGGAAGACACACAGGGCTCCTTAGTGCACCTTCCTATTCCCCTTGGGCTCATCCACGGGAAGTTACTAGCCTGCTGCCACTCTGAAGTTTTCTTTTGTGGACTTTTCATCTAGTGGGGTTGTACAGTATGAGGGTTACCATAATGACTTAACGTTTCATCATTAGTTGGAGGATATTTGAGTTCACACCCTTGGCCATTATAAATATTGCTGTGCAAATTCATGCACATGTATTTATGTGTATAGGTTTTATTTCTCTTAAGTAGATTTAGGACTGATGGATTATATGATAACAGTGTTTAATAGTTTTAGGAAATGTCAGACTATAATCCAAGCAGCAACTGCAACCTCCAGCAGCAGATGCCATTGTGTATGTCACAGCTCTCAAACAGACTCCATGTGCTGGGACCCTTAGCCCTATGGGGACTGATGTTACAGCTCTCTGGTGGTTAATGTTAAAACTCTCACGTCTAGGTCTATTGAGACCCTTTGCCTTTAAGGCTTGGCAACTCTTTGGAACTTGTTCACTGGTGGGGGCCAGGACTCTTTTACTCTCACTGTCTGTCTGTCTGTCTGTCTGTCTGTCTGTCTGTCTGTCTGTCTGTCCGTCCGTCCGTCCGTCCGTCCGTCCGTCCCGTCCGTCCAGCCAGCCCATTGCTCTTTCTTGCCTTTCTCTCTTGTCATCCTTCTTTGTCTCTCACCTCTGTTCTCTCTGGTTTCTACCTTGGTGACTTTTTGGAAGTCTTCAGTTCTACTATGATTGCTGTTGCTCTTGCTGCCACCAGGGTGCCACTGCCATTGTTGCTTTGGCTGGCTTCTTGCTTCTTTCCCACTTGGTCTACTGTTGATAAAGATAAATAAAAGACCCAGAGACTGATATTGGGGTTCAAGGTTCAAGCTGATGATCAGAAACGTAAAGCAGCCTGTCACTAGCTCTCACCTCTACCTCAGACTGAAAGTGCTGATCCACAAATTCTTTACCAAGCATCAGACTGCTGCTTCTCCTTAATGTGGCTAGAGAATCCTGAGACTTCAGTGTCTTCCTGTCCTCAGTGTGGCTAGAGAATGAATGCCCCATACTGAAGACCCTACTCCTATCTTTCATAACCTCTAGTGCTAGGGTTAAAGACATGTGACCTAAGCTGCTGATCACTTTTGTGTGAGCTGTTTCTCTTTAGGAATAGATCAATCTTGTGTAGATCTGGGTGGCCTTGGACTCACAGAGATCCTTCTACTTCTTAATCCTGAGTCCTGGGACTAAAGGTATGTACCACCACCTCCTAGCTTCTGACTGCTGGGATTAGAGTTGTGTATCACCACTGCCTCTTCCATAGCATGAGGCTGACTTTGCTTTCTGAATCCTCAGACAAGCTTTAATAAATCATAAATAAAACATCACCACAGGACATGGTGGGAGAAGTATTTAATTAAGGCTAATGTATCCAAGAGCACAAATGGGCATCTCATGACCAACATGAAGATTAGGCTATTTATATATACTGAAGGCTAGGCTGTTTGTATAGTCATCCTCACAAATTAAGGTCTGCATTGGTACCAGTCACAGACCTTCTGCTGGGCTAGTAGGAGAAATTCTAGGTGAAAATGCTTGTTAGATTTGAATTTTGTTATAGTAACAAGTTTGGCATGAGCTGGTTGAATAGTCATGTCTGGGCCTGTGCCTTCTGGAGCTAGAGTTGTGTTTTGGTGGTAAGCAGACATGGTTTGCAATGCAGATGTGGTTGCTGTGCACTTTTTCCAGGTCTTGGTGAATAGTTGGCAGTCCAGTTGGCTGGTTGACTCAAGGCAGCCAGGATGCCATGGATGGATTTAAATTGTCAATTAGTGTCCAGGTCTCTATTATCTTAGCTGGAAGGAAAAACAAACATGGGGCAGGTACTTTAATAAATGCTTAAAATCACTAACATTAATTTAAAAGTGGCTATCAATAATTTAATTCCTGCTTCAGTGTCACAGAGAGAGGTGGATCCTTCTGCCTCAGAACCACCATCCAGTGCAAGGCTCACATGGCCTATGGCTGTGTTTTCCTTATGGAGTTCATAGCTTCTCTACTCTAACTGATACTGCTGAATTAGACTGCTCGCCCTCTTCCTTATTCCATTTGTGTGCTTAAGACATGTGTTTAAGAATCAATGTTAGATTCTGTCCATACCTTTCTATTTTTAAGCATATAGGTAAACAATCTTGTTCTGGCTCTGTCATCAATTTATTTCATATTTTTCTCACTTTATTTGTTATCTGCTGCTCTCAAATGATACTTTGCCCCTTCCTTCCTTCTTTCCTTCCTTCCTTCTTTCCTTCCTTCCTTCCTTCCTTCACAGTACATAATTTGGCTAAGTCCTCTGCTTCTTACCTGTGTCCAAGTCCCAGGCCATCTGAGTCACTGTGTTGTGACTTCCTCTTCTTCCTGTGTTAAACTCCAGTGGGAATCACCTGCATGCTGTTTCAGCACTGTGCTTCTATAAGCAGATGCTAGCCGTCACTTCTCTTCACAGGTCCTGAATAGCTGAGCCCACACTAATTAAAACCTCCTAGTTTTCCCTTCGCTCTACCCTTCTTCCCCCCTTAGATTGTCTGGACTCACTCATATGTTTTGCAGGCTCCATCTGAGCCTGAGTGCACAGCCAACTGTGTCCTTCCATTTCCTTCTATTCTGTGTCACACCTCTCTCCACACAGTATTTGTTTCATTGTGCTATTTGCTAGACTCTTAGTGTATGTCAGCTGACTGAGAGATAGAGTGAACAAACCTCAGGTCACTCATTTTACCTTGAGAAAACCCAAGCGCGTGTGAAATCTCTAATTTCAACTAAGAATTTTACATATCCCTCATTCCCTATCCATCTCTATTCTTAGTGTCTTGTCTTTCTCACTCTTAGCAGGTGACCTTGTTACTTTCTTGGAAAACATGGATGAGTTTGCATCTCCTGTGAGTGCCCGCTCTGCTTGCCATGGAAAGTGCTCACTGAGAGGCTTTCTATTCTAGTCTTGTTCCCTATCTCCTTCTTCTGCCTACCCCCTCTCCCCCCCCCCCCCCGCTGCCCTTGTCTCCCTCCCCTCCCCTCCTGCTTTTTCTCCTCCTCTTTCCAGCTTTCTCATATTTATAACTGTATGTCTGTTCCCCAAAAGAATAAATTTCATTGTAACATTTTCTTACATGTATATAACATGTTTTGATCATATAAATCCCTGTAGTACACTCTTTTCTTAACCCTCTTCTATTCTTTAATAGGCTCCGGGCTTTAAAAAAGTCTCTCCATTTTGGCTTTTATGCTTTCTACCTTTTTTTTTTTTTTTTAAATTATTTGTCCCACTTTTATCATTTCTTTCTCTACCACTTTTCTTCTCTTTGTATTTAAACTACTAAGAAGTAGTTAGTCTTACCTAGACCAAAATAAATCAAATATTATTGTTACCACATTACATTATGTTATTTTATTTGGTACTTGTTACCACTGTGCCTCCATCTTTTCCTAAGGTTTCCAAAGCACTCCCCACAGGCTGGATGTCCTTGTGGTTTCTTCCGTAGTTGATATAGGCTGCTGCCTCCTAAGAGCAGGCAGTGACAGTAGGTGTGTTTACCTCTTCATTTTTGTGTGTTGGAGACACTGATGTCAAAGAAATACTTTTCAGTGCCATCATATGTATTTTTTAGTACATTCTGCGTAAAAGGTTCTTCTCATCCCACTTTTGGTCCATCACATCACTGTTGTATGATAGTGCTGTTCTTTTATCAGTTGGGTTTGGATGAGTGCATATGGTCCCTTCAGTGAATGGGATGCTAGGCAGCTGGTCAGTGAGTACAGTAGACCTAGATGTATAGATGGATGATGTATATACATACACTCTCCTCTTGATTTTTTTTTTTCCTTGTCCATGTGTATAAAAAACCTTTCTTACGGTTTGTTGAAATGAAAATGACCAAAGGGAACACATCCATGTACTCCAGAAAGAATCTTAGTATCTAGTTTTCATAATGGTTATTTTGTTTGTACAGCAGAAATAGAAATTGAGCCAGGCATGGGAACATGTGGTTTCATCCTAGCACCTGTGGAGGTGGAGGCAGTGGTAGGCAGATCTCTCTGAGTTTGAGGCTAGTCTTGTCTACAAGTTTACACCAGCCAGAATTGCATAGTAAGATCCTTTCTGGGGGCAAGGGAGGGTGGGAAAGAAGATTGTTATGGGTTGATTTAGTCCCATTTTACTGTTCTAGTTTACTTTGCTTTAATTTCCTGAGCCCTTACTTAGGGGTGTGTGTGTGTGATAGAATGTTGATACTTGGAACCATTTTAGAGGATTAATCTTAAGCGATTTTACTTGACTTCTCTGACTCCTGGGATCGTGACTTTTATTTTACTGTCTTCATTTCATTTTAAACTCCTCTGTGTTCCCTCAGTTTTCTGAGGGGCTTTTCCTGCCTTTGTCCAGAAGACACTTTTCCTTCATCACTCCAATGTATTACCTTTATCTGTGCTCTTGTGGCACTTTGGGAATTCTTCCTTGATCATTTGTATGTGGAAAACAACCTTTGCTATTGACCTTGGGTACCCTGGGTCTGAATATGCTACTCAGCACTGGGTACAACTTCACCGAAAGGATTTCAACATTTGATAATAAAGCAGGAGATTTCGCATGTATCTCCTTTTAACACATTCTGTTGTTTAATCTGCCATTTTATACCCTGTAACTTGCAGCCTTGTATGAAGAGACATATTTTAATTAAAATTAAATGTGTGTTTCACCTCATATTGAGTTTATGTGGATAGCTATTGCCTGCCTTTTTCTTTGGAGACAAGAACAAATGTCTATTCAGCCAGTTAAGATCCTGACAATAGATCAAATATATAATTCGACACAATTGTAGCCTTAGTGCACTAGTGGGTTTATTGCGTTGTTACAGGGGTTACTTAACAAAGCAGGTGCCTTCTCACTGAAAATCCCACCCCAGTGTTGGGAACAACTCACTAAAGCCACAATTAAAGCACCCCCACTCCTCACCAGCAGCTGTTCACTGCATGGCTTTTCTCAGCTCCCTTCCGTTTCTCTGGGTTGTATTTCAGCTTCCAGTAATGGTGATGCAACAGAAAAACACAGTTCCCAGCTGACTTTTTGTGATGTCTTCAGTTACCATTGGAAGACACACTTCTGAATGTCACCGGACAGTCACATAGATTGTTTTTGTTTGTCACCTACCTACCTACCTACCTACCTACCTACCTACCTACCTATCATCTATGTATATTTATCTGCATTATTTCATTTATGTATATAAAATTAGGTAATTCAAATAAAACCTCTATCTGTCTTATCCATCTATTTTATGTGAGAGTGCTTGAGTGAGCACACACATGCAATATTAAGTCATTCAAGTAAAACCTACATCAGCATTCTTAGAAAATGTACCTTGACTCTAGCAGGCATGTAACTACAGTTCCCCTCTCTGACTCCTTATCCATCTCCCTTTACAGGTTCAGCAGATTGATCGTGTGGTAGAAGTTGTGGAGGAAACCATTAAAGGTAATGATGGAATGTAACTAACAGATGCATTTTTTGAGCTAAAATTTTGGTATATCATTCAGTTAACACTAACCGTTTTTGTAAAAGATATTATTGTAGTATAAAATCATACATTTTTGTCCTTGGGCTCACACATAAACTAGGATATGTATGTATGTATGTATTTTATTTTATTTTATTTTATTTTATTTTTTTTTTGAGACAGGATTTCTCTGTGTATCTCTGGCTGTCCTGGTACTCATTCTTCAGACCAGGCTGGCCTTAAACTAATAGCAATCCTCCTGCCTCTGCCTCCTGAGTGCTGAGATTAAAGTTGTATTCTACCACCACCTGGCTTATATCTATTGTTCTTAAAATTTGTATTTGAAATATTCTATAAGACACTGAAAAGTAGTACGCAATGAAATCTTGAAAAAACATCGAGAACTTGCAGAGTAAAATAATCTTTAAAAGTCATATACTATTGATGTCAACTATATGCCATTCTGGAAGAGGCAATTATAGAAGCCATCAAAGGGTCACCTAGAGATGTAGGGAAGAGTTGAGGAAACAGAACACACAAGGTATTTGGGCAGTGATATTTTTGATGATAATATGGTAGTGAACACCTATCAGCATCCATTTTGCTCAAGATCATCCAACATCTGCTGTCAACTGTGAACCCTAGTGACTCGTCAGCATCAGCTCCGTCTGTAACAAACCTACCCCTCAGGCACTCTGCTCTGCTGCAGTTTGCTGGCAATGGATGATGGAGCTCTCTGCTTCTGCTCAATTTATCTGTGAACCTGAAGCTTCTCTGAAAAATGTTTTAAAGATGAGTGGTATTCAGTAGTGAGCCTACCCAGAGGTGTGTAGCGGTATGGTGGGAAACAGAGGCCTTTCTGTCCCAGGCCAGGTTCATGAGGAATGTCTTCTCACTGAAGAATTTGGCCCAGTGTAGATTCACTGCAGAGGCTGTGTTGAGTAGTTGTTGAGAAGTAGTAGTAGTCATGAGATGAAGTTGGTGGGAATCTTCCTTGGCTGTTTGGAGGATGGAAAGCGAAGACTGTAGTGCTAGGGATCCAATGAGAGGGCTGGAGGCTGAGACATGGTCTGACAGGTTCACTTAGCCAGTTTGGGCACTGAACTCTGTAGAGGTTAAGTGACTGGCTGAGTTTGCTTAGTCAACTGACGGTGAGACTGCCTTCATCATAATTCATAAGAAATATTCATTCTTTACCTCCTATTTCTACTGCACACACTTCATTTAGAGAGCCCAAGCCAGAGAAATAATGTGCTTCCCCCACCTCTAACAGTGAGGCTTTTGTTCATTGCCTTTTGGCACATTATTTTTCAGATGCTTAATGTTCTCAGCTGCAGCTGGAGAGGATTTGAAGGTTTTTCTCCAGACTTTTCAGCTGCTTTGCTTCTATTTTAATGTCCCAAACAGAACTGTGTAACTGGTTTGCCTCTTCAGAGCTATTTTCCACTTTCAACAATGTCCATTCAGGCTGGCATTTATGTGCTATATTATTTAAGACCCTTGTTTTTTTTTTTCTGGTGCCCGGGAGGACCTTTGCTCTGTTGTCCATTAGAACCATTGCTCTCTGGATCCCAGTAGCATCCTTGCTTTCTTGTATCTTTTGGAATTGTCAGTCTCTGGAGCCCAGTGGGATAGTCACTCTCTAGTGTCTACTAGGATCCACACTCTTTGGCATCTAGTGATATTTAGCTACTTGGGGAAGGTGGCTCTCCTTCCATCATATGGGTTCTGGGAATTGAACTCGGGATGTCAGATTTGCAGGCAGGTGTATTTACCCTGTGACTCATCATCTTCCTCCTTAAGTTTTAACTCATGCACTACGATTCTGTGATCATTTTCCTTCTTTTTTTTTCTTCTTTCCTTGCTTCCTCCTTCCTTCCTTCCTTCCTTCCTTCCTTCCTTCCTTCCTTCCTTCCTTCCTCCTCCTTCCCTCCCTCCTTCCCTCCCTCCCTTCCTCCCTCCCTCTCTCCTTCTCTCTTTCTCTCTGTGTGTGTCTCTCTGTCTCTGTCTCTCTGTATTTATATGTATTTTGTTGAGGGAGTGTATCAGTTATGAAACCAGAAAAGGGATTGTGAGACCTGATCTTAAGAGATGGAGGGAGGGAAGGAGGAAGGGAAGGAGGGAGAGACAGAGAAATGGAGAGAATGTGCTATGAATACAAAATACAAAATATGAATACAAAAAGGGACTATTGGATAAGAGGGTACTCTTTGTGGGGAATAAGGGGTTTGTGGAAGGGAGAACAAATAAGAACAAATACATATAAAATACCATAACGGATGTATTACTTTGTACCCTAACTTAAATGAATTAACACAGACCAGAGTAAACAAATCCCACTAGTTGGCAGTCAGATAGTCCCGCCTTTCTTCCTTGTTTAAATATAGACTTAGCTACTGTCAGGCTGAGCTTACATGCTAATCCTAACATAATGTCTGGTTACATGGGAAGAAGAGACTCCAAGTTTCATTAATTATCTTAATGAAAGATTTTTTTGAAATCTACTGCTGTAAGCCAATGTCCATTTGGATGTCCTTGGTTAAATGCCTCTGTGCTGGTTATTTATACTATCTATGTAGTATGCTCAGATCCGGCAGCTTCAAAGAGCCATCTTATGATTTCTACATCATATTGCTTTATATCATATGATGAATACTATAAGGCATCAGTCCCACAAAGAATTGTATTACATATAAACTTTATATTCTTTACTCTAATAGGACTCATTTTGTAAAGTATAGCAAGTTCTGACGCCATTACCAAAACATGATTACTCAATATACACAGCTCTAACCTGCTTTTTATATACACCGCCTCCCCAAGGATAAAGGGACAATTCAGTCAGCAAAATGCTTTCTATGCAAGCCTGGGGGCATAAGTTTGATCCCCAGAACCCACAGGAAAAAGCTGGCACCGTAGCATGTTTTTGTAAACCCAGCTCAGGGAAGGTGGATGGACATAGGTGCACCCTTGGGCTCCCTGGCCAGCAAACCTTGCTGTCAATTTTTTATAAAAATGGAAGCCTACATTCACTCTTAGGGTTTGCATCATTAGCAGGTCTTGCTAGGACTACACTTGTATTCATTACTGTAGCAACTGTAATCAACACCTTGTCTTGCTCTTGGTATCTTATCTTTTCTGTAGACTTTAATTCATTTATATTTTACAGGAAGCCTGGCTGCACTCTTAACTTTGCTGCACACTTTTTCTGATTCTTGTCCAGTCTTAATATGAGGTACTAGTCTTATTGTAACTTGAAATGCCATGTTTTCTTGATATCCATGGGATGCTTGCACTTTCCTTAACAGAACTGGAGGAGGGGGTGGTGGCTGAAGGGAGGTCAGAGGAACCTGGAAGAGATGAGGGAAGGGAAACTGATTGGGATATTAAAAAATAAGTTAAAAAACATAAACTTTAATGTATATAATTTGGAATATTTTAATATTAAAACCTACATTCAGAAAAAATCTTAAGAATTTATTTGAGGCTGATTCTGACCAGTGCCTGACAGATTTATCATTTGTGCTTCATGAATGCTACTTAGGGGCATCTTCTTCTTCATAGGTCTGGCTTTTCACCCTGGGGCTCCTTTCCTCCCAGTCTATTTCTTTTTAAAATTTAATTTAGAATCAATCTTATTTTACATATAAATCCCAGTTCTCTCTCTCTCCCATCCTCGCATGCCCCCCACTATCCCATCCCCTATCTGCTATCCAGGGAGGCTGAGTCCTTCCCTGGGGGATCATCAAAGTCTGTCATATCATTTGTGGGAGGGGCCTAGGCCTTCTCCCCTGTATCTAGACTAGGAGAATCACCCTCCATAGGGAGTGAGCTCTGAAAGTACATTTGTGCACTAGGGATAAATACTGGTCCCACGGTCAGAGGTCCCATAGACTGCCCAGACCTCCTAACTGACAACTGCATTCAGAAGTCTTGGTTCGGTCTTGTGCTGGTTTCCGAGCTATCAGACCTCCACCTTGTTCAGTTTAGTTGTTTCTGTGGGTTTCCTCAGCCCGTTCTTGACCCTTTGCACATCCCTCCTCCCTTTCTACAACTGGGTTCTAGGAGTTTGGCTCAGTGCTTAGCTGTGGGTGTTTGCTTCTGCTTTCCTCATCTACTGAATGAGGGCTCTAGGATAGCATTTAAGCTAGCCTCTCCACTATTGTGTAGATTGTTAAGAAAAGTTCTATGGTAGAAATTCTGTTCTCCTGAATACCTGGAAATATTTCATATCTGCTGTCTTGCCCCTCCACACTCTGGTAGAGAGGAGAGGGAGAGACCCCACCTGTACCCACTGGAAGAAGAGATGAGAAGACAATAGTATAAGAACACACCCAACAACAGAAAGACTTATATGACATCACCAGAGTCTAGGGATTCTATGCTAGCAAGACCTGAACATACCAACACAGATGAAGCAGAAAAGAATGACCCTAAAACAATTTCATGAAAATGATAGATGCCCTCAAAAAGGATACGAAAAAAATCCCTTAAAGAAATGGAAGAAAAAGCAAACCAAAAATTGCAAGAAATCAACAAATCTCTTAAAGAAAGTAAGAAAGCCGAGAAAACAAACAGATAAAGGAAACAATTCAAATAGTTCAAGAAAATAAAAGACCTAGGATAGCCAAAACAACTCTGTACAATATAGGAACTTCTGGAGGCATCAATATTCCTGACATTAAGCTCTGCTATTGAGCTATAGTCCTGAAAACAGCTTGATATTGGCACAAAAAATAGACAGGTAGACCAATGGAATTGAATTGAAAACTCTGATATTAACCTCCACACCTACTTACTCCTGATTTTTGACAAAGCAGCTAAAATTATACATTGGAAAAAAGAAAGAATCTTCAACAAATGGTATTGGCATAATTGGATGCTGGCATGTAGAAGACTGCAGATAGATCCTTATCTATCTCCATGCATAAAATTTAAGTCCAAATAAATCAGAGAGTTCAACATAAATCTAGCCACA